CTACAAACCATAAAAACAAGAAACTGAAAAATAAGTTACACTACAGCTTTAAAACGATCATTTTTTTCATCTTTGAATCTGGATAAGATATATAATTCATAGTGACTAGTGTTCTCTTGCTTCTACTTTCGTTATTTCTTATTTTAATCTTCTTATTATGTAACATACTGCGTGTATATTGAGGCTAGTGTGTTTCAATAATTAGAAGTTTGTACGCGTATTATGTATGAACAAGCAATGCTTTCTATGAAGGTTTTTTTACTCAAAACAAGTAGATTAGTAAACATTATATAACGACTTTAGCAAGCTTTCATTGGTAGGAATGCAACTGGAAATATATACTAGCTAGCTAAGAATAATACACAGACAGAGCTGGGCAAATAGTTGGTCTTTGCATGGTGCATGCATGGGTTCACCAAAAATTAAGTCGACTATGCATGTCAATGATGCGAATTCCTTGCTCTTTGCCTTGGGAGCAATGCATATGACATGCACGTATGTGCCATGCCATATGATACATACATGTAGTAGGTGTAGCAGGTGTGGGCCACTGCCATATCATGGGCCCCTAAAATGAAAACATTAGAAACAATTAAAAACATAGATTTTAATTTTGAAAATCAAGATTAAGACATTACAATTTATATTGTAAAAATTTAAATTTACGAAAATATTACGGGAAAATGTAACAAAATTACGATATGATATGCTTGTGATGTTACTCTGAGTGTGTATCCACACCGAGCAAGCTTGAAAAATATGTCCGGAAAAATTTTTGTATGTCCGGAAAAAGTGCGATATATCTGGAAAAATTTTTGTACGTGCGGAAAAAATCCCCCTCCCCGCCAACAATTTTGGGGGGAAATATTAATCTTGAGACATCTGTCACCGGGCCTGGGCCCCATCAGACGTGGCGTTGTCCTTTTTAAGACACCAGCACGTCCCTGATACATAGCATGCAGCTGCGCGACCCCAAAAGGACTAATAGTATATATTTGTCGTTGTGTGTCATTCTTAGCCTGGTCGCGTATGTACTCAGTGGGGTAATTCAATACATTGTAATGATGTCACACTTCAAATCTCGCCATATTTCCATAAATTGATAAACTTTATGGTTTATGAATAAACTTTTAGTGTGCAGTAATGCAAAATAATTTCATTCTCAAAATATCCTGATTTTTGGTAAACTGTAGAGCATATACTATACTATAATGTATTGCAGTTGCATAGCCAGGGTCGAATGTTGGGGGGGGGGGGTTGAGCAGTGAGTGGCGAAGCCACGAATGAGCTAGGGGGGCATGCCTCCCCGGGAAAATGTTTTGATTTCTAGTGCTCGGAAATGCCATTTTCCACATGCATGCTGATACGAGTTTATAAAAGTAATTAGAAGGTCATAAATCCCAAAATTCTGTCATTATTACATTGGAACAAGGCATATATCCTCCGTATATTAGATATTAGTATAATGACATAGATGATTATTGAAAATTCTCCACGCTGATTGGTTGCCGATGAGGTGATTATAAAGCGATAATCACCTAAGCGATTTTCAAAATGGCGGCCGAAGCCATTTTTTTTCAAATAAATGACGAAGAAATGTGTATTTTTTTTTCCAAATAATCACCTATGAAATTATACTAAAACAATTATTCACCTCAGGCTGGGTGATTATCGTGAATAAAAACCTCGACTTCATCTTGGTTTTTATTCACCGATAATCACTACGCCTTCGGCGAATAATTGTTAAATAATACCTTCAAGTACGCCACATTACTTAGTGCCTTTTACTAAAAGTCGTCTTTCTGGATGAACCTCGTAACCATCACCATTAGTACCACCGGTACCACTACCAGTCAATGGCCAATATTAAAGACATTAGACAATACAATTGTGACGACATTTTCAAATATCTATCGGTGTAAGTTCGAATTTCTTTACTGGGCATATTTGCCAACATCGACAAAGTTCGTTCATTTCTAATTCGCTTTCTCTCACGAATTTTTTGGGAAAAGGATTTGTTTGACATTGTAATAAGTGTATATGAAATGAAAATTTCTATATCGTTTTTTTTTGCATTTTCTGAAAATTTGGACTTTTCCGATCACAAAAATACCAACCTTGTTGAAAAATTCGAACCAGAAGTTTGTTAATTTTACGATTAAAGTTCGATTTTGAGACTATCTACGTCCGGCGAAATTCCTGACATTCCATCGCGCGGCCAGTGACGTATGCAGTGTAACACATTGCGATCTTTCGATATGTAAACAGTATGAAAATTATAGCTTCGTCAGTGTAGAATTGGGTTTTTGAGAGATTTTGAAGAAAATTCAAAGGAATTCACTTTCTGTAGACATCGCTTTCAATGTATAGATACAATATAATTACAACATGACGAGTTGTAGCGTATAAACGACCGAAAATACAAATTCTATGAGACAAGAGACTATCTCTACGTTGTAGGTTTCAGACCGCATATTATGTAGAAGCTATAGCTGATATTAATTATGGAAAACATTGTAGTATAAACTAGTGTAAACATAACATGAAAATTAATACTAAGTATTTACTGACATAACATGACCATTCCAAAACAAACAAATTTTGAATTGCATATATAGTGTGGTAAATAATGATGGGCTCTACTTCATTGTAATAATATAATTTACGTTCACTCGCAACCGTTCGTTAAGTTCACATTGAGAATCTATTACATCTAGTTGCGTGTTTTTGTACGCGAAATAGACCAGAATTTGATTAGTATTCAGTATATCGCCTCTAGAAAACCTCAGCAAGAAACGCGTGCATGTTTTGCGCAACAGACATAGCGCGTCTACCGACATCACGAAACTCACACCAGCACTCGCACGCAATCTTGTTTGCATCTGTACTATCTAACCCTAAAAAGCAGTGCAGTTACTAGCATTTACTATGCATGCTGGAAGTGGTCTCACGTCTGGAATTCTCCCATCCCAGCATGCCAAATGCCCATCTGACTATCCAACGATATGCTACTGCTCGAAGATATCACGGTCTGTGATGACTTCAACACTATGTATGCCGTGACTAACTGACTATGTATTAATCTTGAACGAACAAACCGTATAAAACGCATCAAACAAAGCACAACACATACGACTATCACACACTTTTTGCTATTAGTTTATATTTTTAAATCGTTTTTTAATCGATACTAAGCTTCATACTAGCTCGATGAAGTATAAATGTACCAAGTCGAATAACAGGAAATGCTTCTAATACTCAACACTCTTCCGGCGTAGCGCTGTAGGGCTCTACACCCAACTCGACGCCAAATGCCTTATCCTAAAACTTGACGCATTTGCCATGAAGAGATCCACGTTGTTCTTTCTTTCCATATCTTTTTCTCGTAGAGCTTTCCCTTTTACCACAAACGCAGCTTTCTTTAAGGCATATCCGCACTTTGCAGAGGTTGACGGGGCCTTGAAACGATTCGTACTCGCATTTGTTGCAGCAGTATACCCCCCAAGAGATCGCGCACTGTCAACAAGATGATCAAAATGGCCTGCCGTCAAGATCTCTTGGAGCGACACGGACGGGGTTCCACACAGCTTTCTCACATTTATCAGTAACCGTGCAAGTAGTCGCATTTGCTGTGACACTTCCACTGCTTTCTCATTTCCACGATTCTCAATTAAGGTTGAACCCACCATTAAGATGGTTTCATCTGTTCGGACCACAGCGCTGATGTCATCTAGCGTCATTATTGATAACACGTTGTCAGAGAGTTGTTGGCTGGCACCAGTTGGATAATTATTCGCCGCCAATAGCAACCTCCCTGTGTGCTGCATTTTTTTGGAGCGGATGTTAGCCTGGTCGGCACCTTCAGCGAAAGGGCACTTCGAACAGTGGCGATACAGGTCTTTTCTCTGGAAAAAACCATGGCAAAACTGGCACGGCAAGTAATTGCTTGGATCTTTGTCCGCGTTTTGGCCAGGTCTTCGTACCACCTTTAGTTCGCCTTTTTGCAACTCCAGAACCTTTAAATTATTGTTAAAGTTGCCCATTCGGCAAAGTCTTTCCAGCTGGAGCTGCCGTGCGGCGTTGTTGGTTTTGAGGGCTATTATTTTCGCCACCTCTTCTTCATCGCTGTGAACTTGCATAAAATGGCGAGCCAGCTTGTACTCTTTTTCGCAGAAGAAGCAACAGTTGGTTTTATCATAGACCCTCTTTCCATCTTTCTCACTCACCGCAATTATGTACACTAGACAAGAACAAAAAATTTTTCTCATAATTAAATATGAATTGTCTTCATTGTTCCTGCAGGGTGTGATTGCCCGACAAATATCAAATCATGCCCTTGGAAATATAACAACGTTTGTTAGATGAAAAAAAATTCTTCTCAAGACTCTCTCGAACAAGGTATCGAAAAGGAATAAAATACGTTTGCATATGTATTTTCGATAATCTCTTTCGTTTGTAATGTCTTGTTCATTGACGTTGTCAGTACCAGGGGCGGATCTAGGGGTCGTCAAATCAGTCGCGCGACTGAAGTAAAAATTGCCCGCTCACAAAAATTTGACTCCAACTATCTATAGTGGCCAGTAGACTGAGTTACTAAAATTTTGAATCATACCGGTAGTCCAGTTATACGTTTCATGCTGTGGCAGAGCTTCGGCAAAGTAATGTTAGTCAGTCACGAACAGCGGTCTTACGCATGAAAGTTGACGGATTCGGGGGTTAAATCTGGCTATCTGATTGGCTGACACGCTCATTTCCATGGCTACGGACATTTGCGACGGATCTGTGGGGAGGCCTGACGGATTTGCAGATTCAGGGGCTCTGTATGAGCCTTCTGATTGAACCATTTAAAAAAATTCTGCACTGTCATTGGCTTATATTTTCGACAGATTCGCAGCGTGAGGTATTCGTGAACACGGCAATATAGTGTTTACCACTGAGTTTAACATTTCGAACGTTTACTATTATGAGCGATTTGTCGACTGACAATGTTCAGTTTGCGATTGCGGCAAACGATTTTGAATCTCTATACAACGTACGTTTGTATATGGAGCTTGAAAAGAATATCGATGCCTCACGGACGAATTTTGTTTACAAGCTACTGAGCGGCGCCAGCGACAACACAAGCAGAAGCCTCGCTAGAAATTTTGGCGCAGAGAGGCTGAGAGAGCTACTGCTAGAGAAAGACAAAGCTTGCACTGCAATAAGGTAGATAGATAAATTATGGTTTTATAGTGATGTATCTTCAATTCATATTAAAGGTTTATAAACCGGAGTACCAAGCCATCGGTGTTGTTAAGGCCGGCGCACACTAGAGCTATGTGCTTAGCAAAATGTCATTCGTGACTGTTGGCGTAAGGAGATAGCTCTCGTGTGTGGGCGATTTACGAACGACTTTTGTCATTCGTGCCACTTACGCCGAATATCTAACATGTTTGATAATTTCTGCCTCGCGTGCCAAAATCTTTCTGTGTGCGGCGAACGAAAGCTATCTGCTTACGGATTGTCGTAACAGCGCATGCGTAGTATACGAAAGTAAACATCCAAGATGGCGGCGCAAAATGAATTGCTGGCCGAGGCAATTTTAGAGGACAACTATTTCTTTCACCGCACATTCCCTTTTGTCCCTATTTCTAAAATCTGCAGAACTCACATCGTATAAACATTTGTATTCAGGCCAAAGTTCGACAAGTTTGTCCTCTAAAATTGCCTCGGCCAACAATTCATTTTGCGCCGCCATCTTCGATGTTTACTTTCGTATATTACTCATGCGCTGTTACGACAATCCGTAAGCAGATAGCTTTCGTTTGCCGCACACAGAAAGATTTTGGTACGCGAGGAAGAAATTATCAAACATGTTAGATATTTGGCGTAAGTGGCACGAATGACAAAAGTCGTTCGTAAATCGCCCGCACACGAGAGCTATCTCCTTACGCCAACAGTCACAAATGACATTTTGCTAAGCACATAGCTCTAGTGTGCGCCGGCCTTTAATGATTGTCTGACATATGATATTTTAATATATTCGCTATGCTGCATGCATTGCTGTATTAGCATAATTTTCACATCAAGAAGCTAAAATATGTTACAATTTCAATGTCTACATTGTAAGCATTTGTTGATTCTCATGTTAGTGAAGTTTTATTTATATCACACATGTACGCGTTAACGCGTATTGGTTTATCCATAGCCTATCGACATGGCTTGTTAGACCGCATTGGTCTGATGTAACATGATGATGTGAAATATTTAATTAGGTAGCTTGAAAAGCCCATTGACTGGTAGCCATTCTGATGTTACTAGTTTATTAATAGTATATTTTGTGTTCAATATATATAAACTACAGTATAGACTTTATTTTATGTTCTGTCTAAATTTGGATAGATTTGTGTCAATTTGTGCACGTCCAGGTTCTTTACTGTTTTGATCTATTTTTCGAAGTAGTCAGGTCTTCCTAGCCTTGTTTATTATGTTTCAATAGCTATTTGATATTCTATGAATTGTTATATGTTTTATAAAATTTGCAAGCAGCTAATTAAGTATGTTTGTGAAATACAATACAACGAAAACTTTGAGGAATTTGTTTGATGGCTTCAAGTTCCAATTCGTGTGATGACTTTGATCAGGTACATCGAAGTTTTCGTTGTGTTTTATTTGTGTTTTATTATCTATTTAAAATTAGAGGGCCCACAGTAATTGGTAACATATACTGTTGTGGTGACCCTGCCATGAATGCATGATAATGGCGAAGTTAAATAAATAAATAAACAAATAAATATTAATAGTAAGGGTTTAGTTTATTAATATTTGACTTAACATATTTGACGTAACATCAAATGTTCGTTTGAGTTTATTAATTCAATCTAAATATGTTTCATAATTTGGTTAATTAGGATTTAGGTTAATAGGTGTGTGTGTGTGGGGGGACCAAATCGCATTTTATATACGGAAAATTCTAAAAATCTGGTGCCGGACTATCAGCATAAAAATTATTTAGCGCCCACTCCCCCCCCCGCCTAGAGTCGACCACGCCCAGTTGAGACCACGCCCACCGCTGATAACGCCCTGTCCACCAAAAAAAATTTGACTGAGGTACAAAAAATCCTAGATCCGCCCCTGGTCAGTACGACCGAAAAAGCTGTAAATGTTGGACTATATCTTTATCCGTTTAACAATCGCAAATAATTAGATAAAATGTGAAAATCTTACCTCCAGATTTCTTTGTTGTTTTGTCAAAACATTTATTTGCCATTGAATGTTTATTAACATCATTTCCATCTGAAACATCACAACATTAAAAGTATTGAAGGACTGGTATTAGAATGTACTGATTTTTCATTTATTTGCCAGATGCCTGATGGGGTGAGTGAGGTAGGTAAACACTTCATGTGGAACCTTGCGAAGTATAATGATAATAGTTGAAATTAGCACTGGCGGTGAAATGGGCGAATGATAATGAATTGTTACTATATAGTAACAAGGAACGAGGTGATACACAGAGAGATGAGGGAAAGGAAAAGTGATTGAGAACAGCGGGAAGAAGCTAAATTGGGTTTGGGAACACCAGGTGAGCATGAGTTCCACGGCAGTTAAAGAGACCCGATCAGACGCTTGAGGAGAGCGAAAAGAAAGGGATTATGAAAATAGACATGGCATGGCCAAATCATTCGAACAAAGACGAAAAACGACAGGAGAAGGTAAGAAAATATCAGCAGCTCTGTTTTGATCTACGGGAAAGACGGGACAGATATAACGTAAAAGTTATACCATTAGTTATACATCGGTGATTGCATGGCTGTTTAAGAGAAGGGATGAAACGACCGAAAGATGATATATAAGAGGATTGTTTAATAACGAGAAAGATTTGCAATGGATATAAGTAGAGAAATGCAAAAGACTGTACTGATAATAATAATAATGGTAATAGTAAATCTACATTAGTATGCCCTGGAAATCTTCACTTTCAGACTTGGATTCCTCGCCACTTGAACAGTCTTCCTGTATTAATACAATGGCCAGTTACGAAAGATTTAAAGTTGCCAAAATACTATTTTTTATGATACTACGACATAATATACATTGTGGTTTCACAACAGCAGAACGAAAATGGTCAGTTAGGTAAATCAAATATACATGCGGTGGCTGCTGGGAAAGAAAATATCTCTAAGTGCTTGTGGAAAGACCATATCACGGAAAAGTGAGTAAAACAGACCGAACTATTGGTGAATTAGATGAAACTGTTTGTATTAATGAGCCTGTGGAAAGTTTACGCATTTAATGTGTTTCATCTGATGACAATGGTTTCAGGATCATATAGAAATAATGAAATTGTCTTGTCAACCAAGTCGGGGACGAACCTAATTTATTATACAAACTAGCCTCCAGTTTTACTAAAGAGACCTTTAGTCATATAGGCCTAATATTCGATTATCATTCACTTTACAGTAGTCGCAATTTTGATTGGTTAACTTCAAATACCTGCGTGCAAATAATAGTATGAGCATGCGATTGTCATCAATTTTTTGAAAACAAGATGAGTTGTCTTGCTTACTTGAAAAAAAGTGGAAAACATAAGACAAATGATAAAACAATTATTAAACATGATTCTCGCAGAATATCGTGATTTGTCGGTGGCTCACATGCAGATCAGTTATTTGCCTCTGCCTTCGGCTTCAGCATCGGAAAATAATTAATCTGTTTGATAATTTTCTCATGCAACCTCATACAAAAATTGATAATTATCATGCTTTCAGCTGCGAAGGCAGGCATAAAAGTCGGTTCGAACCTGGACCCGCCCCCAGTATGAACTTCATATATTAGATTATTAACCCCCAGCCCTAACCCGAAATCAAGCCGGAAGCGGATTTGCGATAAGGGATATTGACTGAAAATTCTGAACGTCGATTGGCTGCGCTTGAGGTGATTCAAGCACTTGTAGTCGTGCTTTATCAGATATGCACGACTACAAGTGCTTTAAATTGCTTAAAAAAACGACCCATGTTTATGAGTTTATTGGCGAAGAGATTTTCAAAATCAACGTTGTCTAAGCCGAGAAAATCAAAGCTACAGTTTATGTAAATTAACATGAAATTTTATCACATATCACCAATATTCACTTCCCTTTCGGCGAATAATTGTTAATTAATGGATTGTATCAGTCGTATCAATAGATAAGGACGTGGTTATACGGCTGCAATGTAAACGAGATGTTTTAAATATATAAAATTTCAAGTTGTTACAGTAAACTGTCACTGTGGTGAGTGTGCGGCAAAATCCCTGATCTATGTGAATATTTTATGAGCTGTCAACGAATTTACCTCAAGATCCGGATCCTGACGAATTGTTTCCGAATGACTTGAATTATCTGCAAAAAGAAGAAAAAGTATTTCATTTACTCCATGGGTACATACACAAGATAAGTGACGCTTTCTTTTTCTTTCTTTTCTCCCCCCCCCCCCAGTGTTACTCTGTGTCTGTTAGCAATGACCTCATCAAAAATCATGTGAATCTTTGTTATCCCTTCCTGCACACAAAGATGAATGCCTCCACAGCAAACAATTCTATTAATAAATTGTCATCTTTCACCCAGTGTCACGTGACAGTACTGTGATATATCAAATTGATTCTGACAACAGCGAGCTCTCAGAGGGGTATATTACTGTTAAAGTGTACAGTATATTTTCTCCTAATTTTGAAAGTGAGCGCAGTGATATCACCTTTAAAAGCATATTCGTCATCATTATCTTTGTCTGAATCTTCGCCTTTAAAAGAAAACGATAATTTATTATTTTTTAATCACATACATAACTTGTAAAATATACAGCAGTTAATAAAATCAAATGAGTTAAATTAAAAATTATTCGAATAGAAACGTGCTTGCGTTTTTGTTAGAATGTGTCAATTCATTAATTTAAGGTAGCAAATGAGCCAACTCCATAGACGTAGTTATGACACTATAAAAATTAGACAGGAAGACAGTTCAAAATTAAAAATAATATAGTGCATGATATAGCTGTGTACGCTAGAGCATACACGACAGAGTTATTTTACACTCTTGACGAGCAAACAACGACGAAGTCAGATCGAGAAACATTAAAATGTGATATATAATCTATATAATCTCGATATGAATTCGTCGTTGTTTACTCGTCAAGAGTGCAAAAAGAACTCTGTCGTGTGTGTTTTCTAACACAGCTATACTAGTATCATGCACTATATTATTTTTCACTATTGAACTGTCTTCCTGTCCAATTTTTAGTGTCATATTTGCATCAATGGAGTTGGCTCGTTTGCTACCTTACCTATATTTTGGCATTGACACATTCTAGCATTTTGAAAATTTGTTTTTACTTAAGTTCGATGTTTCAAATAACTTTATAGGGTGAAAGTTTGTATCTAAAGCCTAGTTTATTCTTTCTACCAGAAAACTTGTGCATGAATGAAAAATAAATGTAGAGGGGCTTGTAAAAATTATCTGCAAATCGGAAGTGACGTACATGTTCGAAAGCCTATATATAATTCGGCGGTGTCTATAATTATACCTCCACGCGCCAAAAGTCTAAAACCGAGAATGCAGGATATAAGTCAGATATAGATCCGAGGAACCTTTGTTTGGGGAAGTTTCCAACAAGATTTTATCGACTTTCACCCGAGACTTTTCGACATTTCTCCACACGTTTAATCTATAATTATTCTTCATTCAAAGTTTTTAACCTAACAGTGTAACATTTTGCGGATATGCATATACCTGTATAGCTTTTAATTTTGGTCATAGATTTATTGCAGTTATAAGGTCCTATACTGATTCCTACATTATTTCAGAAACTTCATGGATGTAAAACCAGATTAAATATTTAATACAGATCAACATGCATGCAGTTACTGTAGTTTGCAAGTTGTGAAACGTACTTTTGTCCTCACTTTCAGGGAGAGGCTGGTATTCCTCGTCACTCGACAAGTTTTCCTATAAAAATAATGTAGCAAATATAAAGCCAAAATCCAGGTATGGAAAATTTATGTTTTTTTACGTATATTATCTCATGCAGCTTCCATCACAAAAAGTTTGAGTCTTACAATGAAGGGCTCACTGTATAGGGCTATTTTAATCCGACACTATGCTAGTGCCCAATCTAAGGCTGCAAATAGACATATATATATATATATATATATATATATATATATATATATATATATATATATATATATATATATATATATATATATATTTGTATATATATATATATATATATATATATATATATATAGTACAATCTGCAGACATGCATGTTTTGGCGTTCAACGCCTCGTCAGTGCAGCTTGGTACACGTCTAGATACGTGAGACACTCGTATTTATACCCCATGAACTTGCTGTCACCAAGGCATGTGGTACAACACAGTGACTCAACGCATCCAGACATGCGCAGAGCGTAATGGAGC